GCCGGGCGTTGACACGTCGCATACACAAATTGTCCACCAAAATCAAACGAGCCATCTCACGACCGATGCCTAGCTCTCGTGCTATCTCTCTAACACTCACATGAGGATTTTTGAACACGATTTCCTTTGCCTTTTCAATGTTTTCGTCGGTGGTAGAGGTCGAAGGTCGTCCAGAACGCGGCATGTCTTCGACGGTCGTACGACAGTCCTGAAAGGCTTTGTACCACTCATAAACTTGAGTTTTCGATAAAACTGATTCCCCATAAGCCTTTTGTAGCATTCGCAACGATTCTGCACACGAAATTTCGTTCGAAAAACAAAATTTGATGCAAACTCTTTGTTCAATATTTTTTTCCATTGTTTTTTTCGCAACGCACTACTGAGGTGAACTGGTTTCAACAGCTGCCGTAAACGAACTGTCTGACAGACGCCGCTCATTTTGGCATAGTAATTAAGGACAGTGCGCCAACTAACAAAACTTAAAATATCGAAAAATATACAGCGCGCGAATTTTAAATGAGAATTTCCGAAAGCTTTTCGGTCACAATGTACGTACTTTGTATCAGTACATATTGCTTCACGTACCGGAATGTGCACTGCACCAACTTGTTTACACAGAACATATAATTTTGTAGGTACTTTCGAGTGCTTTAATTTTAGGCTAACTTTTCGAGAACACTTCAATGCGCACCAAAATGCATTTTCTGCAGTTCGTTGGGTTCAAAATATTTTATTTTTAATTAAAATGCGTGCAAATTTAAAACCTCTAGCATTTTTAACGCAATTCATATAATGAAAACATATATACAATTAAGGGTATATACGTTTACGACTTAAACGCATGAACACATATTAATTTTTAGAAAATTTTTAAAGTAAACTTTTTTTTAGTATATAATATTTACTTTCACATAAATACAGTTTTGCGATCTCTAAAGCAGACATAATTGTTATAAGTCTCATTCAAATTATCATTCAAGCACTAAATAGAATTAACAGTAAACCACATGAGAACATCGGCTAAACATCGGCAATTTGGTTCATGGAATGAAATCCGGCAGAAGGCTCTTGACAGACAACTATAGAAAAACTTCGTCTCCGTCCTATGCACTTACTAAGAGCGGTGTCTTTACCCAAGGTATAATACATAAATACATTGTAAATACACCAAAGAAATAATAATAATATAATAGGTTAGGTTAGGTCTTCGATGTTCTATTGTTGGTCTGTGGCCCCATTGCATACAGATGCCTGCATATCGCAGAGTCTTCCCATCTTTTGTTAAAAAGTTCGGCACAGAAAGAACTTAAAATTAATTTGCATGATGTCAACGATATGCCCAGATTGTTTAGGTGTTCCGAGTGATTTCCTGAAGCACCACGTCTGGATAGGTCGTCTGCTTTACAATTGCCGTAAATATCCCTATGACCGGGAACCCAGATTAAAGAAATATTGAACTGCGTCGACATCTCATTTAGAGATGTGTAGCAGTCAAAGACCATCTGAGATAATAATATAATACATAAAATGTTAGAAATAAATATAAAGTTCCGCACACGACCGTTCAGTTCAAAGACTTTTATTAAACAGAACTTATAACTAAAATAACAATAGTAATATAAAGTTTAATATAAGATAAGAGTATAGGATTTTAGTACTTAATTGAACTGTTGCATTTATGCTGACATAAGATATATTTAAAAAGAATATACCTGCATGTACATAACATATATAGACATATCGTCTGTATTATGTTATTAACATTATAAAATATGAAATGTTTTAGAAACTTGATGTAAACTGTTGTAGTTCCTAAAAATATTTCAATTTAAATTAATAACATATTTTCTATTATGATTTCCTTTACTTAATTTCCAGACCTTTATTTTTTAAGTAAAAAAGTTATTAATGTAAAAACTGTTTAATAATTCTCAAAGAATATTATTAAACAAAAATAAGCTTTTTAAAACCGAAGTTAACTTTCGAATGATAGTTAAGTTAAATTTTTACTCATTTAGTAAGTATAAACAGTTGCATTTAATTATCTTATTGATTTAAATGAGATACCTGTAAAAGAGTCAGTAGGAGATTACTGTGTCTGCATGTAGTTAATCCAGAAACAAAATATTTTATTTCAATTAAAAAGTAATCATTAATACATTAATAATATTTTTTATGTGAAGGTTTGTTTGAATTAAGTTAATCACAATAAAATTAATAAATCTCAAAATGTTTATTTGGTTTATCTCTTGAATTTTTATCTACAAAGCTACTGATATTAACCGCAATAATTAATCACATACATTCAATGATAAAATCAAAGATTATGCCATAATTATTTCAGTTAATTTTGTTTTAATGTTAAACAAATTCAAAAATGCAAAAGTTAACTTCAAATTAAAAATAATATAGCATAAGAATAAACTAAATAAATAAAATTTAGTCTTTGGCTATGTAGTATTGAAGAAATAAATTTAAAAAAGCTAGAAATTAAGTCAGATAAGAAGTTCAAATACTCTATCTATTAAAAACAAAAAAAAATCAAACACATTTAATAAGTTTTAAGAATATATTGAACTATGTAGTTGATCATAGGCTGATATATTTGTTGTTAATTATGAGGACATCATACTGAATTGAATTCGTTTAAATCTCAAAGTCCATTCTCAAAATCATCAACTTTAACAAAGCACTATATTCATTTGGAAAACATTGTGCTCTCTAATTATCTGCCCATGATCACTTCCTGATGAAATTCAAGAGATCACAGAATAAAAAGTCGAATTGTCTGAAGCCTGGCAAGTTATCAAAAGGTTTGAGTCGTCAAAATCATTCTACAGGGGCATATTAACTAAGTAAAAATACCAAGCTCAGATATTGTGGTATAAACCCGATACTTTAGGTAACTTTCTGAAGCGGTTTAATAATCAACAAAAAATTGGTAAGTGTTGCAGGCTTTTTTCAGTACATGGTGCAGTTGGTATATCTGGTAAGTGGTACAGCGACAACAATGAAAGCTGGGATACATTCATCTTTATTATTTCATACAGCGCCCATAGAATCACAACTGTCTATTCTTTGTGCTTAAATAAGCTTTAGTGTGCAATGTTGTCACTACAACGTAACATAACCTTCACACAACACACTTGAAAGGCCCATATATTTTAAGCTGAACCCGCTAAATTTAACACAAATCGTCAGTTCGCTTTTTATAGAAAAAAAAAACGTAGGGTACTTAGATTCCAACTATATTGTGCAGATGAACTGATGAATGCTTCCTATCAGACCTTCGTTCGTGGCCTCAAATAACTCTGCAATTAAGTCAACTTTGATGCCTTTCTTTTCAGTTGCTATATGTTAATCCGCAACTCATTATAACTAGGTAACAGAATTTTACTGCCATTAATTTAATTTGGTGAATCCGGTTACATTTTTTCAGAGATAAAATTGATGTTAGCAGGAAAACCTATAATTTTCTTTTTTGGGATAACCTGAGTCAAGAATTGTTCTATCTAAAATATGCCTTAGTTTGCATATTTTTTTTTATAGATAAGGCAATTATTTTAAGTTAGATTAAAAATTATCTGAAGTATTATTGAGTAAAAAATTCATTTTAAAAATATTATAATTTTGTAGAGTTTTAAGTAATTTCTAAGACGTAATGATATAAAAAGGTTTTAAACATTTTCGCTCTCTAATATTTTAAATTACAAGAGTTTAAATATATGATAAATTGATTAAGCACATGAAATTATAAAAAATAATCAAACTTTTGTTATGAGGATAACGTGTAGGTAAATTTTGCTTAATTAGATTTTTTAATAAAAAAAAATCAAACGTACTTAAGACATTTTCTTACAAGTATAAATTTCTTGTAATTTTTTATTTAAATTAAAATAATTTTTTTCTTTGCATAAATTTAACTACATAAAAGTATGTCAAATGTTTTCTATATTCATAATAATTACATGTAATCACTTTAACACACTTAATGAAAATATAAACATTGCTTGTCATTTTTTTAATTTATTTTTCTTATTTTATTTATTTTCCAATACACACTTAAACAGTGTTAATTGATCTCTTTAAACATAAAATTTTATTGTAGAAAATATTTAATAAAAACTACTTTAATCACACTTACCATTTCAATATAGGTACATAACTCAACACATCAGAAATCAAAATAATAAAAGATACTTGAAGAAATAATCAAAGACGACCAAACATTAAACAATAGATAAAGAAAAGAGCAGATAATTTACTAAATAATTATTAATAATTAAATAACAAAATAAATCCAAATGATACTCAGCTAACCATCAATCAATTTATACTGAAAAAAATTAGAGGTTCAATAAAGTTTAATTAATTACAGTCTTATGGTTTTATGACATGTAATAAACGCTTCTTAAAATCTTTAATAACATGAAATTGAAGTCGATTGAATAATTATGAACTTTGATATACTTTAAGTCAAAAATCGACATTGATTTTGCTCTACTAATCATCGGCAACTAAAACGAGAAAACTTCTTGTACAATTTTTATTTCTACTTAATGAGATACTATTAAGTATTTTTGCTTGTAATTTGACGAGGCTTGTAAGTTTACAAATTATAGATAAACCTTTGCCGATCATACATCTACGAATCCAGTTAACCTTCCACAGACTGAATCAAGTTGTGGCAGTTAAGTACTTTTAGTTTCATTCTTAAAAAAAAAGTAGAAACATATGAGACTGAGTATACCTTCATCCGATAGAGTAGATTCAGTGACGGCAGCCACACTTATGGTAGAGACAATATTTACATACCTAAATACATAGCCCCTGTCTCGATGTGCTCATACTAGAAGTGTTGTGTGCATTATGAATTTTAAATTTAAATAAATTTCTATGATTTTATAGCAATGATTGGCCATAAGCAGATTAGAAAAGGAAACAAAAGAATAAACGTTCAAATCAATTTAAGAAATATAAAAGCTTCTGTCTGAGCTGTCAGACGGTTTAGTTCGTTCGAAAGTGGCTCACCAAAGAAGCGATCGCGCGTGTGCAAAAATATAAGAAGAATATTCTTTGTTAATAAATAAATCAGTGTTTAATTATTAAATAAAAACAAACAGAAGAAAATATTTAAACAAGAAATATGTCGAAACTAGTTATACTAGCTTTGTTAGCTTTCTTGGCCTTCCAAGCTGATAATACTGAAGCTTTTAAACTCTCCACCTTTAGCGTACAAAAAGGTTATATAATAGTTGATCGATTTAAAAAAAAAACTATTTAATTTTAAAAAAATAATGTTTTTAATAAACTCATAACTAATTATGCTAAAATAGGCACTGCTGCTTCATCCTCTACAGGCGCAACAAGCACACCAGCAGCTTCTCCAAATGATTTGCTTCAAGGACTTACGAGTGCTTTGAATGGAAAAATAAGAACGCTGCAGTCACTCGTTGGAACTTTAGCGCAATTGAAACAGAATGTGCAACGAAATCTAGTGAGCACTGTTTCCAACAAACTAAGTACCGTCACCAGTAGTTTAGGTAATTTACCCAGATCCTTCACCATTCGCAAGCCATTCTTCACTAAAACTATTAATATTGGTATTGGGGGCGGTTCGGCGGCAGCAACGACGACCACTACAGCCAAGCCCGGTGGTTATGAGAGACGTTAAGCGACATCAAGTGATATTAAAATAGTAATATATAACTAATTATGATATAACTTTATAATGTTTTAAATAATTTTAAATAAAAAATTTTAAAAATAAATATATCTTTAATTGTTAATGGTTTACTACATTATATTTTCTAATAAGTAGTGAAACATATAAGGAAAGATAATTGCTAATTTTATTATTTTTTATTTCAAACAAATCATTTTCACTTTTGGATAATTTTGTTTTATTTTTAATTTTAATTATATAATACTTTATTAATCAAAATATGCATTTTCAATAATCAATTTATAATGATGATGATGATGAGATGAGACCTACTCTATAGCAAGGCGTTTCCTCATTTATGACGTTATAATAAGTTTAGATTTTCACGATCGTAATTAACGATCGTACAAAACTTATAAGATTAATATATATTATATTATTTATATTTTTTTTTTTTTGTTATTGGAGTTACTACTAATATTAAGTTTTTGATTTAGAAAAACCTTTTGAATTCGAGTCAAATAGGTTTTGTAGTGTGCATGCAATACTTGCTAATTTTTGCTCAATGTCATTGTACAAATATATCATTTAGTAGTTTAGTAATAATCATTTTCTTACGATAATATTATAAATATTTAATAAACATTTAATAATTAAGCATTTCTTTATAATAGCATAGTGCATTTGTAAAGTACAGTAGGTTCAGTGGAGGCTGCATAAAACCTCTGCATAGTTTGTGATCTTTATTGCTTTTTCATAGTCAGTTTGTTTAGACCTTGATTTTATTCACAAATAATTGTAGAAATATATCAAAAAATATTTGAATCAGCAAACCATTTGCTATTAGTGTATGTATCGGACATAACTATTTCAATTTTAATACCTTCTTCTCTTTCAATAGATATGGGATTAATATAATCAACACATAGATTTGCAAAGGTTTCCGATTAATTTAACAGAGAGTGGAAGCGAAAAACACGTAGCCTACTTTGTATTTGACACATACGTCATTTTGTTCATCTGACATTAAACTACAAACATACATAAATTAAGTCCATTAAAATATTGCGTCTTTGTTTTATAGGTCAGTGGTTATCTTGAATTTTGTACCTAAAAAAGAACATTTGCAACATGCATTCCTTTTCTTATTAAATCGAAAGAAGAAGGCAGTTGAAAGTTATTGTTTGATGATAGAAATATATGGTGAACATGCCCATCGATTAGAACATGTCAGATATAGTTTCAACAATTTAAAAATGATGATTTTTATGTGACAAGCAATGAGCGCTCGGGTACACCGTACAAGTGCAAAGACGAGCAATTTGGCGAATTATAGGATAATGACCAACTCAAACTCAAAAGAACGTATTGCTTCATATTCTCAACAAGGTAGGCAATATATCAACAATAGGTTTCATGCTCTGCCAAAACTCTACGATAACTGTTTATGGTAAGGTCTGACAACATACGCAGACGATCAGTAAGAAACAAAAATCGAAATTCTCGTAAGTATCAAGCGGTATCCTGAAGAATTGTTTCTGAATACAGCAGCACCTAACTGATAAATGAATATTAAACAAATTATATATTATTATCCAGACATACCAGCAAAAGAAGATAATAAAACTTGAAAGAAGGAAAATACAAGTTCGAAACAACTAAACTGAAATATGCATAACGAAACAAACTTGAATTATGGAAATCAGCAAAGAAATTAGTAGTACGTCCCGAGTTGTATAATTAGAAAAAAATGATAGTCTAGTGGATACAGTTCATATTTGTGAATATCATATAAACGCACTTTTCTGGTACAAAAAACCACAACTTCTCAATAAATATACATCAGTGAAATAATCTATGTTATATTGATTAAATTTTAAATAATACTATACTTTTATGTTTTTTTTATTGTGTGAAATATTCAAACAAATTTTAAGCCGAAAATATGAATTTATTTAAAGTTAGTAATTATAAAAATTAATTTTATAAGAAAGGTTCTGTTAGAAAATGTTTTATGTGTAAAACCGGCTTGAATAATTTTTTTTGTAAAATGTTTGTCTTTGGAATTATTCTCTAAAAACTCATTAAGCTTGCTTGGCATTGAGTTAACAAATGGTTCTAATATTGAATGGATTATTTTGTTCAATTTCATGGCAAGGTATCATTAAACTCCATAACCATCTCAAACTGCCGGCTATTGTTATAAACCTGACCTATAAGGATTTTTCTAGTTGAAGCAATAAAAGTTTCAAGCATACGTAATATAACCTAATATTTGTCGATCTACAAATGATAATCACTCTTTTTTAAAAGTTCTTTATTTTATTTCTACAATAATTAATTCTTCGGGCCGGTTTTTAAATTTTTACCCCATTCCATATACACCTGTCATAACGTCACGATCTGCTTGGTTCTGCGTGGTATAAAACCCTGATAAATCCGTTATTTTCTGAGCTCCAACATGATCATTAACATAATGTTTCTCTTGTGTGTACTTTTCTTAAATATTATATTGTATTCTTTATATGTTCTGGCACGTTCCAGACAATCTAACTTGGTAGCAACTGTAGTTATACTAAAAGTATAAATCAAACAATGTCAGTTTATTATCATGTAACACTGTTTGTAAAGATTTATTTCCTTAGTCTGATATATGGCTACATATACACATGTCGTACTTATAATAGATTTAATAATCGAAGTAGATATGAGAATTCATATTCTGGATTTCTAAACATTTAAATAGAAATTTGGCTTCTAGGGAAATATCTTCATAGCAGATCATAAGCTATGTGAACTTATAAAGAAAATGTTTAAAAATAAATAATAAGCACGCTTTGTAATTACGGAATGTCTTAAATTTTTTGTTACAAAAATGAATAAATTAAACAGCAAGTAAATAACATGAAATTCATTACATATTCCGGATGCGAATTCTCTGGCTGCTCGTGATCCGCCACACTTCTTAAAAGCCTGCTTATATGTGGCTACCGCATAGAAACCGTACTTACACGGCCACTGAACTAAAAATAACTTCATGTCGGTTTGTTAATGATGCAATATAAAATATATCTTTTGTATTAAATATATAGGTAATGTATAGATTTATATCTTAATACCAAGTTTTAAGTTGATGAGCACACGATAGATTCAGAAATTGGCCAATTACACTCTCAACAAAAATAGAAAAAATTAAATATTATGCAGTGATTTAATTCCTTGTATATGTATGAATTTAAATTTGTTTTTTAAAAGAAAGTTCAACAATCATGAAGATTCTCACCGAAATGGAACAACCATTATATAAATCTGTTGCTTCAGAAACAAATCGTTGTAAACAGGCTGATTTCTTTAAAAGTAGTAATAGAAGTTTCAAAAACAGCATCATCAACAAAAATCATCTTAAAAGTACAGGATATATTTATGAAAGATCGTTGATTAACCGAAAGCGATTTATCAGAAGCTTTAACACTCAATAAATTAAGGTGCAAATTATTAAAGCAACTGACCGTCCTTGACTCACACTTCAATTGCAAACGATTTCCATGAGACGAAGATGGAATAGCTATCGTACAGGAATATTTCCAAACTTTTAGCAATATCATGACAGAGGTGAGAATCGTTGAAGTGAATGTATTAAAATTGATTTAAAATATACTACACAAGTAATTTAATATCCTGTTAGAATCCCATTTAAGAAACAATGAGAGTTTGATAAGAGAAAAAAATATATATGTCACACAAGAACAAGTTTTTAAACTGTGGTTTTCATACATACAATAATTTCAAAAAAATAATATTAGTATTTATTATATGTATTTACCATAGATATAATCCCATAGTTCGAAGTATTATAATCTTTTCTTACTTTATTCAAGATATTCTTTATTTGTTGTTTTAAAAAAAGCGTTTTAACAAAAAAATTAATGACACTACAATTTTAGAAAACTTTAAGTCTTGGATAATGAATAAAACCTGAATTATTATCATTTTATTTAAATTTTGGGGATGCCCCAAATTTGATCATATGATTTTAAGTTAAGAAAATAAATTTAGTTTGCCATGATTTTGCATAAGTTTTTATTAATTAAACTAGTTATACCGGTATTGCATGATATATCCGCTCACTTTATACTATTTATTTTTTCTTAAATGTGCTAGTAGACTAGACAATGTTATGAGACGAACCATTGGATTAGTCACATAATACTAAGGTTAAGGTTAACGTAGTACTACAATAATAAAGTAACTATACATTTTGAAATATAACTAAAGAAAAATATGTAAATATATATTTATATAATATATAATTATATAACATTTTTATATAAATAAATATATTAAAGAAAAGATGATTTCGATTTCCTAGACGCTGTAATTTTACAATAGATGTTTCTTCAATCCAATTCTTCAATATCGCACTGATAGCCGTGACTGAAGGGGCATATTGCAAAGAAAAAATTTATTGAATATTGTAATAAACTCATAAATACATTACTTAAATACATTACTTATTAATTACATATATTACCAGATTGCATAAGCTTCTCAAATATATCTGTTATTTATAAAAATATTCTTCTTAATAAATAGTTCATCTCATCTAAACCAAAAAACCAAAAAATTGTTTAAAAAACAAGTTTTAGAAATTGAAAGATAATGAGAGGATTTGTGGTAATCAACGAACCCAAACTATTTGTAAAGTATTTCGTTACAAAAATTGCAAATTTTGATCATTTTTAAAAAAATATTTATATCAAAGTATAATGTAAAGGTATAAACGATTAAAATCTAGGAGTTAATGTGTGGGACAAGATTTAATCAAACCCATTCACTAAAAAAATGATGAAACCAAGATAGATCTAAAATATAAAATTGCAACTTAAATTGATTGAAATTGACCAACCCAAGAAATATTACGTTTCTAATAATAACGTTAAATATTTATGAGAGGATTAGAGTATGAATAGTTTTCGCCTTTTTCATTGACTAGTTTGCATTTAATAAGCAAAACTTATTTTAAAAAATCGAATCCTTAAGTTCGTTGTTCTCATAATAA